AGTGCAGAAGAAAATATAAAAAAAAGGGGGGGGGGGGAAAAGGAGAAACAGGAATAACTGTGAAAGCAAGAAGGCTCAGGTGATTGTTCAGCATATCATACTAGGCAATGATTTCATCTTTTTCTGCAGAATTCTACCTCTTACACAAATTCTTGGAAGCACTTTGGTTTTCCAGTCATGGCTCCGCCAGCACATATGGAATGACACTGGCTCTGTGCACCAGTTCTTAGAATAACAAGCAGCTCTTCCAGCCAGTGCTCCTTCGAATAGTATTTAATTTCATTTCCTTCCTATGGTTTTCTATGTTTACTTTTACCTATTGCCATTTCATAACCATGAGGAGGACCAAAGCTAGCTCTGGAAAGTTGTCTTGTTTTAACGCTTTGCAAGGAGAAGGGTTTGGAGAAAGCTGAAAAACTGAAAGAAGGGTAAGAAAGCTTATGGGGAAAGCCTCACTCGTAACACGAGAAAGCAGAAGGGTCCTTTCTTAGGACGCTGGTCCATGTTTGTCCCTACGTTCATGAAAGCATCCCTACTAGTCTTCAACGATTGAAAGATGCTGCTTGCCACAGAAGTGTCTCATCTTCAAGCTCTTGTAGCAAAAAGTGATCCTTTGGAAGTTTTCCCTAGTAGAAAAGACAAATTGTACATCACAATGCATAGTTTTCTTTATGACACTGGGTTTACTAAGGATCTAAAGGGGGGTGCACACTTGGAGCAGAGAGTGAAGTGGCTCCGCAGAGCCCTCTCACCATTGCCCCGCTCCTGGTGCAGCTGCAGGCGTGGGTTCTGCGCTCAGACATGCAAACCTGAAAGAAGTCACCTGTGATTTCTGGCCTGTGTGCAGCAAAGCACATCCCGGTGCGATGCAGCTGGTGCCACGTTGCAGCTAGTGGACCTGTTTGCCAGAAAATGGACTTTGTCAATGGCATTAAGTATTTTCAGCTGTTAAGAACCAGGTCTTTAATACTCCATGCTGGTGAAACATTCCCTCTGAAGCGCTTAACTCACTAATAGCTCAAAGTCTCATGCCAATATATGACCATCAAACTAGGCTTAATATCAAGCGGTTCCTTTACTTAGGCTTCATACCCCCACCAAGATACTTCCCAAATTTACAGAGAGGAGCAGGTCACAACAAAGTCAGGTCTCATTTGTCCACAGCAGCAGACAAACCCACAGCTACTGCCCTGCTTGAATCCTCCAGTTCTTAACAGCAGCCATATAATGGTAGATACATCCCATATTCAACAAGCACACTACTTTTTCATTAGCAGTGACAGACATTTACATCCTTTCCCATATAAAAGAGAGAAGACAGACAAATTGAAGCTTGTCATTTATAGTGGCAAACACAAACATACAGAAAAATGCTTCAATTTAGTGGCATCACTGTGAAACTATGAGTTTTAACTTGTCTTCGAATAGAAAAAAAGCACAGTACATGGAAAAAGTTATAATGACCTGACGAGAATGCGGAACAAATTACCTTGAAATAGTTATTTCACAGTTAACATTTTCTTATTTCTTCTTTTATTGTTGTCATCCAATTTACTTCTTTGTTCCAACCAATACTTCAGGCTATATCTTAAAATCCAGGCAGACATGTTGATATTATGACACTTTCATTCAACACCTAACATAATGGGACTCTTCCCTGAATTGAACTGCCTGGCAGATTATTGCAGCCACCATACTAAATAGCTGAATCAAGCCTATTATCCAAGTAACAGGGTTTATGCGTATTTGTCTTTTTACTACAGAGTAACTAACTCTGAGTTTGAGTTTGAAATAATGATACCCCTGGAAACCTATTGTACATTTCAACTTAATATGTGAAAAATACTTTTTACTCTATTTGAGATAGTGAGCTGAGTAGCAAAATAAATGCGGTCTGAGATTAGAAATATGTCTTCAGATTCAGCTGGAGTTTCATGCTTATCCTCTATTAAAACCAGAGCTGTCAAATGAAAGCTGTGGGAGGAATATTGTGCAGAAGGAAGTGGCATAGATTATTAAAGCTACAAGCTGAAAATGAGAGACAGCATCAGTGAGAGAGCAGAGCAAGAGCACATAAATGCATTAGGGGGATACAGAAGATGGCAGTCCTATGTTATTCGTACTTCCTGGGAAAGGTTTGTTTTGTCATTGATAAAGTTGAAAGCTCCCTGCAAATCCTGTGTATCTCTCGCTACCCAGCAAGCAGTACATTTTGAAGCGCTAATGTGTGTTTTGCAAGAGCTGGAGCTGTTGATCTGGATCTTCAGCCTGGTTAAAAAGCACCGGTGTCAGATCCCAGCTGGTGTAGCCAGAGCCTGCTGCGGGCGCAGGGGTCCTCATGCAGGCTGAGGTTTGAACTTTGCTCCCAGGTCACAACCTGCCACCCACATGACGTGTCCCCCCTGCTCTAAGTTTAGTATTGACATCCAACGCAAGGCCACCAAGAACGCTTCAGCTCTATGTAAAGGGAATGTCAAAGACAGCTCTGTGGGGAGCTTATCTTCATGAGCTAAGAGAGAGAGTCAGCTTGAAGAATGACTCGGGGACATGGAAGGTTTTCCTTCAGGTTTTACCCAACTTGGTTTCCAAACCAAAATGAAGATGCTTGTGCCCAAGCTTCCCAGATGTCACCAGTTTGCTTCTCCTGCCTGCACACCGGAGCAGACACCTCCGAAGAAGGAGCTGCCCCAGCTCTGACACCAGCAGAGCCACCTCCCATGGCCACTGCAGAGACTGACCAGGCACAAACACAGCAGTGAGCGCTTCCGAGCCAGAGCCGGTGGGATCACAGTCACGTTCAAAGCTCACCAGAGAACGCACCCAGATTTAAAGAAGTGTTTTGATCAGTAAAGCCGGAGTTTCTCCTATTCTGTGGTGCCAAGACGCATTCACATGCATATCAATGAGCTGTTTTGCAAAAATCTATTTTTATTAATGAAGAGCATCTAAATTACATTTCATGCCTGTAAAAAAGACAAGCAAAAAACCTGTTATCGAGAACTGCTTAAATACGTCTTCAACCAGAACTCTATCCCAAGGCACACAGGGATTTGTTTTAATTATTTCATCAGTTTTAAGTAAAAGTAACTGTATGTAAACAACTGGTCTTGAGGGAAATCCCCACGACTAGCTGCAGTAAAACAGTCTATCCAGACCTGTTACTAATTCTTTTAGTCCTCATACATGTCTATAACAGAGACATTAACAGATACGTAGGAGAAACTGAAAGTGCAATTAAATGAAGTAGAAAAAAAAGTACTCCACGATGAAAAAGAATCAAGTGTGAAGCTAACTATTCAGGGCACAAACCCAGAAAATTCAGTACTAATTGCAAACATCTAGTTGCCTAGGGATCTTAAATTAGAGTCTCAGCCAAATTGTTCCACCACTGCTGACAGACAGTCATGATGATTGCAGCTTTCTCAGACCTCAGGCCCCCATTATTAATCATGAATTCTGAGAAACAATGACAACAAT